TAAAATTGAATTGAAATGAATCTTTGAACAACGTATTGCATTAATTTGGTCATAGAACAGTAACAAGTAAGACAAAGTAATGGACACATTTGTTTCACCTGAAGATGGTCCAATTGATCATTTACCTTCTATGTTGGAAAAAACATGGATGTTGGAACCAGAATGGCTGAAAATGTAATTATTAAAACATTTCTGAAATAGTTTAGTGGCAAATAAACTGACAGACAACATGCCATTTGTGGAGTTATGCATGGGTGAAACCAGCTTTGCGAGTGAATAGATCATTTATCTTTTTGGTGTGGCTTTTAATGTTTATTAGCTTTTTGTGTGGGCTGCGTTTGTATCAGTGAGCTGAAGCCTGAAGCTGAAACTTGTCAGATTATTCATTTCTAATCAGGCCTGTCAGTTGGGGTCAGAGGGTCAACGCAAGAGGTCACAGGTCAGCTGCGATTGGTTAGTTTGAACTCGGCTGCTGAATGTGGACAGGAGTCAAAGTTCCACTTGGATGAGCTTTAACCCCCTGACACACGCAGTACATATGACAACAATTAGCGGAAAATTCTGATAATAAATTGTGTGTTTGGTAATTAGATGATCACGCTACATGATTTCACCCTGCAATGCTGTGCCAGAAGTGACAGAAGGATACCCGAGCTTTGTTGCACTTATACAGAGCAGAGGGCAAGTTTTTACAGCACTTTAACTCTTTAATGTCCTCCTTTTGATGTTGTGTACATCAAACGGCAATAAAAGTCCACCTTGTTTTATTTTTCACTAAGTCACATTGAAAAAGGTCCAGCAGGCTTTCGCTGCTTCCCAGCATTTGGTTTTAATGTGTCTGACAGAATGTAAACTCTGAGGAACCAGTTGGGATCAGTTACACAAATCTGTGACTTAATTGCAATTTTACTGATTGTTCTCATGTGTTTGCTTTTTTGTTTTCTAGTTTGAAAACTGAACTTTAGCAAATGAAGCAAATATTATACTACATGCAAAGATTGGCCTTTGATGTGCGTGATCTTTATCTACTATAACACACATACACACACATATGCACGCACACACACACAATTTATTATTATTAAGTGTATTTAAACATGTAGTCGGGATAAGGACGAGCAGCTGAAGTTCAAACTGAGCATCAGAATGGGGGAGAAAGGTGATTTAAGAGGTCAGATTAGAATGGCCAGGCTGCTTGAAGATCGCTAACTCAATTAACCTCTGATTAAAGCCAAGGTATGCAGCACATCTAACCTTGAAGCAGATGGGCAACAGTAGAAGACCACACTGGATGCCGCTCCTGTCAGCTAAGAACAGGAAACAGAGGCTCACTTGTGGGATTGCAGTGGCATTCCTTCTAATTTGCTAAACGAGCCACTGATGAGCTCCAGTAACTAAAGTCTGACACAAATGACAGGAGATGTAATTCAATTTTAAAATGCCAACTTTGCAATGATCATAATTACATGGTAGAAAAAACATGAGCTCCCAGGTATATCGTAGCGCTTTGTCCAACTCCACATGATGTCACTCGTTAAAGGGAGCATTAACATTAACAAACAGTCAAAGGCACAGATACTTGCTTATCTTTATATCTCAGTCAGGCCATATCTTATCTTAAGGACCTCATAGCAGCATATCACCACGATGGAGCACTTTGCTCTCAGACTGCTGGTTTACATGTGGTTTATAGGGTGTTTAATGGAAGAATGGTAGAGCAGTCACCTTTCTCTGCTTCTCCCTTCACCTCTTTTCACACTCAGTGTGCATGTAATCATTAGTTATTCATAAACTCCCCGTCTTCCTCCCGTCATCCCTAACCGGTCGTTGGAGACGGCCTCACTGAGCCTGCTTCTGCCGGGAGTTCTTCCCTGCTAGTGTCACTGAATGCATGCTCACAGGTGGTTTGGTTATTGGGGTTTTCGCTCCGTTATTGTCTTTAACTTACAATATAAAGTGAGTGTTGTTGGCACCAGATAAATAAAACTGAAATGAGCTGAGCTTACATCATGGATGTGCAGCCAACAAATCTGCAGCAGCTGTGTGAACCTGCCATGTCAGTATGGACCACAGAGTCAGGAATGTTTCCAGCACCTTGTTGAATCCACGCCATGAGGAATTAGAGTAGTTCTGAATGCAAAAGCAGGTCTAACCCAGTATTAGCATTTTGATGAAGTATCAGGTCGCTGCATGTTATAAATAAAATCTTGCTTCCTTTGTATGGCACTTAAAGGTTTACTATTTAAGAGTGTTAGAGATACAGCAACACACTGATGATTTAAAGCATGGCAGCTGTTTAATACTGTGGGTTAGCGCAGGAAGAAGATCAAGGTGGAAAGATAAAAAGAGGGTGCGGGGCGGAAGAGCTGCAGATAAAAGGAGAGGAAGGGTTTGTGATAGATGACAGACAAAAAGGCATTCATGACGCCCAAACAGTTACTCCCCTTCAGTACTGTCAGTAACCTTAAAATCAGAAAAAGGCTGTTTTTATTTACAAAAGATTTAATCGCCTGCAAACTGAACGTTTATTCAAGGCAGGGAGCGCGTCAAACAAACTCCAAATTCACGTGTGTTCGTTATTCAAACTTCTAGGCTGTGTGTTTGGTTTTTTAAGTCCGTTGTAGTCTAGAACATTCCCCTGAAAGTACTACAGATATCTTGTGACATCTCAGATCAACTAAAATCAAAAATCTGCTCATGTGTACAGCTTTGATATGTTTTAGTAATGATTTCTGTGCACACTGTGAGCTTCTGTTTGCTATAAATCTTAATTAATCTAAACCCTTTTTAGCTGTTTCATTAATTTCTCATTATCAGGACGACTTTCTCACTGATGTGATTCTGCTCGATTTCCTTCTGTTCACTAAAATATCACGATACTGTATCCTCTAACAGCTCCAACCTGCAAAAAGTCTGATGTGTGAGCTCACTCTGAGAGCTTCCCCCGGCATACAGTAATTGGTTCTTTTCTGTCTTTCTGCTTCCTCTTGTCGTTTATTTATGGTTGATTGCCTACTGCTCTACCTCATGTGCTCCACCTTAGTTTTAAGTTTCTCTTTTTGTCCAAATTAGTTTCTCATCTCTCAGGTACAGTTGTCTTTTTTCCCTCCCTCTTGCCTCACAGCTCTTCTCATCCTGCAACTAAAAACGTTGAACTCGGATAGCTGTGCAGAATTCCTCACCGTGACCTACAGGTCGAAAAAGAAGAAGAAAGAAACTCATTCAGTTTCTATAGCAACTCACAGCTCAGACGTTCTACTGTGGGGTCAAAGTGTCCAGGAGGTGCTTCAGTAACTCATGTTAGACTTCAAAGCTCTTCGTGTGCTTCCGTCTTTATAGGAGATGATGCTGAAAGGGTCAGATTTAGGCTGCCTCAGGTCACTGCTCTCTGCCTCGCACACTCTCTCTTTCTCTTTTTACACACATCCCACCGACGAGGTCTTTCCCTCAAATACATGAAGAAAACACCGTATTTATTGTGACTGAATTGTTTAAATGTAAAAGTCGACTTATTAGGTTGCAGTGCACTTTACACCACATCTGGTCCATAGTTCTGAAGAAGCTGCAAAGTCTATATGACCTCTGTAACTAATATCCTATCTCATGTAATGAATAAGTCTGGATATTTTATTCTGATGAGTATGGATAAGATGTCTGATTGCAGATCATAGTCAAATTACCAACATGCTGCTGAGTCATGTTCTTCTCTTGGTACACTGTGGGTCCTCGGTATCGACTAAACATCATTTATATTCCAAAAGCTGATCACGAAGCTCAAATCATCCACACTGGTAAACTCGAATTATTCAAACTACGTAGAGATAATCCTGCAGAAAAACATTTCTTTCACAGTATCACTGTCACAGGCTTTTGCTTTGTTGTTTTTGATTGGTTGTAAAAATGAGGCAGCCTGTGGGCGGATGCCAGCAGAGCAAGAGAAACTTTCTGCTGGGCTCTGACGGACATTGGAAGGACTTTTGTCTGTTGTGCTCCGTGCACAAGTGTTAAAATAGGACGGGGGACAGAATGAGGCTTTCACAGCCACAACGATGAGCTGGTGAAAATTTGGAACAACGTGTAACTGTATGGCTCTCATATGGTCTGCAAATCACTGGTTCAATAAACCAGTCCTTACACTGAAAATGAAAACTGCATAACCCGCCCAGTTTCTGATTTTACTGGTCTGAAAATGCACATTTGTTCAGTTCAGAAAACAATAACAGTTTCCTGACGATAGGTAGTCGCATCCGTCTCTTGGCACTCAACCACGGCGTACTGTGTGCCTGCGAGTGTGTGTGAATGAATGTGTGTGTTTGGTTTTCATGTAGAGCTCCTATGAAACATGGATTAGGTCTTTGTTCCTGTCTGGTAGATCAAAGCTTTGTGGTATTCTGAGAGCAGCTCTCTTGTTGTGGCGAGTTTTCATTTCTGTAGCCTTTTGCCTTTGCTGTGTGTGTTGGCCTGTGTGAGTCTGCATATCTTGTGCCTCTTAGTGTGGGGGCATTCCAGTGTGGGCCACTGCTTGTAAACCTCACTTTGGATCTCGTTATTACAGGTTTATGAAGAGGGATGTATTTATTTACACTGTGTGTTTACTGCAGGGTTTGCATGTACCAAAAATTGTGCAGCATAGGACAGGAAAAAATCCCGGTGGGTTTCAAACTCCAATGTTGAAGCTTTGAATAGTTCGGATAACGTCTGGGCTGTTTACAAGGGGCCTGAAAGTAAAGGAGAGGCTGCTTCACACAGTTTAGGATTTCATACAACTAACTGCAACTAATTTTTTCCCCCCCAATAGTCTGTAATCCTCTCTGTGATCTGTATGTATCAGCATTTTCAGCTCAGTGCTGCAGTTAGGAAGGCTGCAAATGCAATAACAGTATCTTGTCACTGGAGGGAGCCATAGTTGCATTTTAAAAGTAGCGGCTCTTCACTCGTCCATGCAGACACATCATCCATACAAGGATTAAAGACGTTCAGTAACAAAGTTGTATTTATTAACATATGAGAATGAGCTTGTGAACGGTCAGGTCCAATCTTATCATTACTACAGCTTTGTGCAGACGAGTCAGCCCAGTGTTTTCTACCAGTGCTTCGGGGAGCGTACAAAATGCTCGTCAGTCTATTGGTACAAAAAGCATTTAACATACAGTTAAAACGGTTAGCCCTTTCATGTGTTTCTACTTGCTCTTTCTTGAAATTAATCTCAAATGCATCTTTAAAAACCCCAATACATTTGTTCCTATCCACTGACTGCAAACACGCCTGCAGGACTGACACTGCTAACACTGAAAATAACAAAAACGAGACAGATCGCTTTGTAAAATTGTGCTTTGTGAAAAGTAAACAGAGGGTTGCGAAGTGTTTATATCAAAATGACAAAATGACAATTTCTTTATTTCCAGTGGAAATTTTGTGTGACGTAAAAGCAACATATGGCAGGGTGACAGTTTTTGACGTTTAACTTGCCAATCCTTGCTTTCTTCTTTTTCCTTTTTTGATGGCAATCTTTGGCTCAGTCACCATTTTAAACTCACCAACTGCAGAATATCATGTCATGTCCTGCTCCTCTTTTTCTTCCCCTCCTAGACTTTGTCCTTTGTTGTCCTTGTGTGTACTCTGGCTCTTGTTAGCTGTGCCCTGACCTCTTCGGTTCATTATGTGGAGGAGGAGCAGGAACAAGGCAGAGACAATGAGAGACACCCCTGCCATGAGGAAACCTGTCCCATAATCACTCATCTTGTCAATGAAGAATCCTAAAAGGAAAAGTAGAAGTGGGACAACATCTATTCATCACTGGAATTCACCTGTGCTGTCAAAAAACCAACAAACACAACAATGTTTAAGCTATGTTATTGTTCATGAACAAGCAAAAGACTGAGGCAGAAATTGGATTGCACTAACATTAGGTTCATCCTAAGGCAATGAAGCCAGCGATGCACATGAAGGAAACATAAATAGAATCTTTGATGCGTCCTCAAAATCCATCAAGTCTCCGGTCATCAAAGTAGTAGAAGTAGTTAGAAATAGCCTCTGTGTCAGAGGAACCATGTTAAGTTAAAAATAGGACACCACTGGCTATATTTGCATCTACTTCACTTCAATGAGCATTTAACTATATTTGAGGTCAGTTTCAGCCTTGAGCGTGTTCTTTAATTCAACATTTAAATGTGGGGGGTGTCACTTTTATCCAAATTAAGAGATTTTTAGGGAGTTAAATAAATAAAAAGATTCTTTAAATGTCAGCAGGAAAGTAAGAAACTGGGGGAGGACTGAAAAGTATTTGTTGATATTTTTCTATGCAACATTTTCTTTTGTTTAAAGAAAAATCAAATGACCATAAATCTTCCACCAAAGGCAGCGTATCTGTCTGTCTGCATGCCAAATCACACCGGATGTTTTCTAATCTCTATTAACTGCTTTTCTTTAGTGTTGTGTGTGAATGTGAGTCACAACCTCCATAATCAGGTTAAATCCTCGCTGATTTGGGAGGCGGGGCTCATGGTATGTGTTGGTTTGCACAGAGAGAGGAGAGGAGCAGAAAAACATTTTACTGTAATTTAGTTCAAGAAATGCCTTTTAAATTAAATTCGCAGACAGATTACTGGAGATGTATGATGGCATAATTGCAACTCGTTTAAATATATCTTGGCAAGGTGGTGAGATGAAATAGCTGAAAAAGGGACACATGCACTTCCAGTTAGGAGTCTATTTGCCATTTGTCATCTCTTTGCTCTTTTTTTCTGCTTTGCATGCATAGTTACTGCAGCTGCTGTTGCAATGCAGTGTAACAGAAGGAAAAATCAGTGGGAAAGAGCCTCTCTTTAACAAGAAAAAGACATATTTGGAAGCGATCAGCTGTAAAATAAACATAAAGTAGCATCATAATGTGATTTTTACCCACTTGCCCTCTAAATACAAAAGAAAGTGTAAATAGAATAACAAGGATTCTGTCAGATGGACATTTGATGAAATCCATTATTAATTGTAAAGCAGTACTGAATGTAAGCGAGGTATCAAAATCTCATTTGATTCCACTCAGCTTCAGTGCGCTGCAGTTACATCGTAGAAAAATGCATAAGCACAACCACTGTGTAAGACTTTATGTATTGGATAATGTGAGGGGACACTGCGACCTTGAAATGTTTCTAAAGCTTTGCAAATAGAAATGTTAATATAAAGCAACAATTCAATAATTATACCTTTTAGTTTGCAGTCACAACACCTAAATGGATGAGTTTCACAGCAACAACATACAGTTAAAAATCCACTTCTTTTGTGATATTCACAGAAGGTTTAACATGTCTGTTGTTTTTAGTGTTCACTATAAAAACTCACCAGCAATAGGTGGTCCAAGCAGGCCTCCGCTGCTGCGTATAAGCATGAAGAACCCCAGTGCACTTCCGAGCCTCTGGATGCCCACAACCTCAGCCAGCACAGTGATGTGAATGGCAACCGTTGCACCATACACCAGCCCGTAAACTGCACTAAAAGCAACCAGCTCTGAAAACGAGGTAGCCAACGGGCATAGCAGCAACACTGTACCCAGCAGAATCACTGTAGCCGTCAGCTGCTGCACCTGGAAATGGGAAACAGTGCATTAGAGTGTTTCTTAGTTTCAGACTAGAGGGCTAGTTACATTTTTTTTCTCAATGAGTCGCCGGGAACATCCCAAGTATCAATGCATTATTTACCTTTCCGTAGATATTAAGTTGTAATGATTTACTTATTGTTTCACCCATCACCTACAATATTTCTTGCTCAACGGGCATATCTGTTTGATCTGTAATACTGTTAATAAGAAGCACTTTGCTATCATGTGAATTTCAAAGTATGGTTCTAGGTCTGGTTCATTATTACATTGAACGCACCGTCTCTGTCAGTCTCAGGTTTGCCACCCAGCCAAAAAACACTCTTCCAAAGAGGTCCAGCACTGCAGAGATGGACATAAGAGCAGCTGCCTGGTACTCCTCGATCCCTTTACTGCGGGCATAGGGAACCAGGAACAGAGCTGGGGCAAAGAAACCCAGAGCAGCAAACACCCCAAACATAGAGTAGATCATGAACTGAGCATTTGTAATGAGGGTATAATCTACATACAGAAGAATTTTGTTCTTTAGTTCAGTCCACTTAGTTCTGCTGGTTGATTCTTCAGTCATATCATGTTTGTCACTGGGATCTTCAAAACATAGTTCCACTCTCCACTCATCAGCATCCTCCAGCTCTTTCCCTACATGGCAGCTGGACTTGACCTCATCCAAGTCCTCTTTAGAGACTGATCTGATTTCCAAGCTTTCTTCTGCAGCTTTTATC